GCATGAACTCAGTGCCACTTTGTTTTTAGCAGTACCCAGTAGATCGTCAAAATCCGTGGGTCTAACGGGTTGAATGATGGGCTGGGACTCAGGAGACGTGGATTCTAACTCGTTGCCGTGGCACTGACTGCAACTTATAGTGACCGATGGGTCCGAGGACAATGGCCACACGGGTTTCCAAGGCTGTCATCCTTACAGAGGTAGACTGGAGCTTCAAAACAGGCCTTTTGGCTAGCACCACCTGGGCTCCTTCCTGGAGTCTCATCCCAGGTGGAAGCGCTAACTTGTGTCAATACAGTGATGCCAGCGAAGAGCTGGGGCCCTGCCCTGGCCCACACATCAATGCTTTCTAGTGAGCGATTGACCTAAGTTATCTCCCTTCTACACTCCAGAGCTAATGAACTGAAATAAGTAAATAGCTCTGTCCATACTATTTCTTTCCGTATTTAACTTTAAAATGGAAATTTTTACCAAAATAACTGCTTGGTGGAGTGGCCAATAGCTGTTCTAAATGCTCGGATGACCAAAAAAAGGAGCGATGACATATTTGGAGGAAAAATAGTTTGGCTCCTTGCACAAGATAACATCCCCAATGGGTTTGACGGAGCCTCAAATTGTCTAGGACAAAGAACAGCAAGAAGCCTGTAAGGGCAATATCAAGAGTACCCCAAAGTGGAGGCCAAGTCGTGAAGAGAAGCACAAAGAATAGCCCTAGAGGGATGGTAATATGCAGTCAGTGCTTGTTACCCGAGAAGCAGCGCAACATCAAGACACGTGCTCACTGTGGCTCTGGACTGGGCATCTCCTCTCTTGCAGGGTGAGGTCGAAGGCGCAGGGGTCAAGGTCATGCTGCCATTCATTAGTTGGAAATTTTAGTATTTTTTTTTATTACATAGTTCCGTACCTGTTTTCTCAGTTTAAGTGAGTGTGCCCACAGCTTTTCACATTGGCTTTGGAACAGGTGTGGTCTAGTAGGAAAGTCTCCAGCTGCAGGCCGTAATGTGATGGTAGCTAAACAATCAAAATACTCCTAAATTGCAGTTATCCCCCTTTCTTGTGCCATCCTTGGTCAGGAGCCACGATTATATTAGACAGTAAGGTCTGAGGACAAAACACTGCAGGGCAAAGATGCTCTCCCAGGTGAAGAGATTTGGGACGGAGGGATGGTAGGCAGCACTGGCCCTTCTCAGGACATCCTGTCCAGAGGATGAGCACAGATGTAGGTTCGCTTCTCTAGGACTTGCTCAGCCACCTTCTTAATCTGCTCATCTAGATTTTCTGGAGAATCTGAGAAGGAAGAAGGGATTGGATAAGCTTTCAGAGCTGTTAGAGGCATGGCTGAAGCTAGAGATCTTGTTGTTGTCCGAAGGACCCTGAACACAGTTCCCATTGCCCAATTGCGAATGGTCCGTTCACTCAAACGACCCTATAGGGTAGGGTAGACCTGAGATTGTAACTATGGGAGTAGAAAGCCCTTTCTTGCCCTAAGAAGCAGCTAATGGCTTCGAACTGCTGACCTTGTGAATTGTAAGGCGACGCGTAACAGCCTATAGAAGGGCGCTGCGAGGAAAATGCCATTATTTTTTCATTGCATTTTCCATGAGCATTTGAAAGCTTCCTCGTACAGAACTGTCGGCACTTTGGGGGTCTGAGGCTCAACTCCCAGAGCCAGGAGCTGCGCAACAATATATGCTGCTCTCAAGTCCAGTGCCAGCAGCTTCTCCACCTATCGCCTGACAACGGGGCTGCGATCCAGTCGGCAGGCTGTGCGTTCCAAGATGAGGCCCAGTGAGCCACGTCACAGTGCTCTTTAGGACCAGAGTTAGGGAGTCTGGAAGTGAAGCGGCAGGCTCAGATGCTACCTCCCAGATCCCGGGCACGGCCCAGCCCAAATGCTGAACCAGGATTCTACCCATGGAGCAACTCACAGGCCTGGGGGTGGTGATCAATGTCCACAAATAACCCAGCCTTCTTGGCTCTCCCCCAAACCACCACACTTACATTTATCCAGCTGAGACAGAGCGAAGAGGTTCTGGTAATAAGCTTCCGCACAGAAAATGTTCGCCAACAGAACCTGGCAGGGTCAAGGTTAGAAGGGATGACCACGGAAGCAGTAGCATTTCTGTACTACCAGCAACCCCTTCCTGGAATCTGTCTAAGTTTCAAGGACTGAGACTATCGGCCACACGGGGCAGCTTGATTCAGAAGTCACAGCCATGCCTGGACTCTAATCCCGGCTCAGACTAGCTCTGTCCCCAAGGGCAAGTTACCCAACGTCTCTGAGCCGCTTTCCTCTTCTGTGAAACGGACACTAGGCTCTGTGGTAACGGCAGGGACACAGGACAGCATGTACCCTTACAGGGAATGGCAGCTGGGCAAGGGCTGTTGAGCCTTGGCACCCATCTCTCACCCGCCCTTTCCCTCCCAGGTCAGAGGACGACTGAAAGGAATAGCCCTGTCTCCTGAGCAGCAGAGGCCACGGACACCTCAGATGGCACCTGTGGGCATCCTCTCTCGGTGACACCACCAGGAATCACAGCCCGGGCTCACTGAACCCCTCCCCCTCTTCATTAAAGGTGTACCAGGACAACAGCCACATGTATGTCTGACGGAGGCGTGGGTCTCACCTCATGGTCGTGGTTTCGGAGCCCGATGCGCATTGAGCGGCTGGCCCGCGACAGGACTGCTGTCATGCCGTACAGGTTGATGAGAATGTTGGCCACCCGCTTCATGACCATCTGCTCCTCCACGATGGTCTGGAACACAGAAGCTCCAAGTGGCTGACCTCCGCCTGGGACTGTCTGACCCCCGAGCGGTTTCTTTGCCTCGCTGGGCCTGGCGCTGTCCTTAGCCGGCTTTACTGAGGCTTCCTTCTCCTTGAATCTGTTTAAATCTGGGCAAGGCCAGAGCAGGTACGGAGTGTACCAAATGCCACTACCACCTTCAACAGCATTAGCTTCACAGATCAGGCCCCAGGTCGGGCTGCCCCCTCTTCACCTGGAAGACCCATGGGAGAATGTCGGGAGAGCCCTATCCCCCAGCAGAGGTCCACCCCAAGATGCTAGTAAGTAAACCCAGAAATCTGCAAGTCCCGTGAGCAGTCTGGTCTAAGAGCTGGGTGAGCAAATGCGGGCCCATGGACGCTGGTCGGGTCTTCTTGATCCCAGAGGAGTAGAGCCTGTGCAGCCTGGGTCAGGCGGGGCCTGCATTACCTTGCCAAAGCGGAGCAGCAACGTCTCAACAGTCCGGCCAAAGTAAAACACGTTCTCCTCTAGCTTGTTGGCGCTGTCCTGTAGGGTCAACAGGCCGCAGCTCAGCGTCTCTTCTCAGACCCGCCTGGCCTCCCTGCAGGGGCCTACTCCACTTCCCATGGGGCAATGGGGATGACCAGCTAGTCCTACTGCCTTCCCCTCTCCCTCTGCCCAGCTGTCTGATTCTCACTCACATGTCCTTCTCCAGGAGGGACCTGAACACGCAACCCTGTACCATCTGCCTAAGAGCAGGCCCACTCACCTCAAGACTGGGGTGCACGACGCCAAGCTTGCCAGTCAGCCCCAGGTCCACGGTGCGGCTCAGGGAGTCTCGGAGCCTCCGGCCCACGGTCTCCAGGATGGTGCTCACGTTGCCCCGTTTGAGCTCCCTGTGGACGGCCGCAGCCCTGGGATCTGAGGCCCTGGCGCCCACTGGCCAGCAGCGGCACCCCAGGGCTCTGGGCACACTGCTCCCCCCCACAAACGAAGACCATGAAAGGGCCAACGCAGAGCTCGTTTGCTTGCAGGGGCCCTAGTTTCCTGAGGCAGACACACACCACTACTGCTGGCTTCCAGGTGTCCCCCACGCGACTCGCAGCCTGCACCAGGCTCCGGCAGCACCTTCCTGGTGCTGTCCTGAAGATGGGGTCAGGGAGAGCCGGAAAGGGGTCTTATGTGGGCCCTGGAATCTGGCACCTGCTGCAGGGCCATCCTCATTCTGAGCAAGAACAAAAGCCACGGTTCCCTCCTAGAGAGCCACACTCTTGCCAGTGCCCCAGGAGTCCGTCCCCCAGCCCCCCATGGCAAGGCAGGCCTGCACGGGGACCCCTGCAGCAGACGCCAAGGATAGCACCTACTTGATCCTCGCAGTCAGGATGCGGCCGGCGTGCTGCAGGCCCGTCAAGGCGATGTACAGCCGAAGAATCTCATTGGTTCCCTGTGGCCAGCGGTGCAGCGCTCAAAGGGGGCCTTCCTGCCAGGCCCCCCACCCGCCGCCCCCAGGATGCCGAGCCTGCTCTGCCCTCACTGGGAAACAACACCAAGAGCAAGGTTGTGACCAGGGCCTGAAGCAGGCTCTGGCACAGATGACCATGAACTCTGCCTGGGTCCACCACGCCACGCCAGCCTACTCAGGGCATTCTGTCACCAACAGCTGCCCCTGGTAGGTAAGGGATGCTGGTGCCTGAGACAGCACTTGCTGGGCAGACTGCAGCTGACTCCTGGGGGTGGGGTGGGGCGGGGAGGTGGCAGGTGAGGAGATAGGCAACCAGCCGAGAGCAGCTGCCCGGCTCCCTGATCCTGGCCGAGGGGTCTGGTCAGTGAGGTGCAGGGGCTTGTGAGAGGTTACACAGCACTGGCACCACGGAGCGAGCGTCCAGCTGCTGACTGGCCCCAACCGCCCGAGGAGAGGAGAGGGAGGGAAGGGGTGCGCCTCCAGGTGAAAGTACCCACTCCTGTTCAGTAAGCCTTGGGGCAAGCGTGGCGGCTTCGCATTGAAGGCTCTGCCCCTTTAAAGAGACTGTGGCCTCAAGAGCTTCCAGAACCCTGCCTGGCCACTCTCACCAGGGCCACAGGAAAGCTGACCACTGGGCTGATCATATACCAGTCCTGGGCACACCCCATTGCCCTTGGAAGCAGCTCCCCCTTGTGCCCTAAGGCTGCCTGCACCATGCCTGTCCACCTGAAAACCAGGTGGGGCGTGTGGGTCCTCCCAGGGAACAAAACATATCAATGAGGCCTTCTTACTTCCGGGGTAAAGACATTGTAAACAATGTAAACCCCACTTCTGAGGTCTAGCCCCGCTTGGCATGGCGAGTCCCCCTGCTCCAGGGGCCTCTGATCTCACTTCTGCAGCTCATCCTCCACATCAGCACCCAAGGGAGACTCTTTCTCAAGGACAAGTAAAATCAATCACTGCGCTCACAGAAAGACCCGTCTCCCTCAGCTTTCCGTCTCTGGCAGCCTCAACCAGGTGACTCTTCTAGCCTCCCTCGCCATCTTACCCCACCACCCGGCGTGCAGCTGACCACTGCTCCTGGCACACTTTCTGACTCTCACTCAATGAAGGTCTGGTCTGGGCCTGGCACGTGTCCTGTTTCCTACCCTGTAGCTCCAACTGCCCTTTCCTAGCCACGGCCCAGTCCTTCCTGCCCTAAGGGCCAGCACGCTTCATGAGACTTCACTCACCTCCCCCCCCCCACTTCCCCACAGGGTCCTTTCTCCTCCGTCAGCCAGGCTGTGCAATCCAGAACATGAGCATCCAAAGGCAGGGCCGGTGTGTACACCCACCGCCCCACAGCCCCGCCCCATACCCGGGCACATGCTGCTGAATGGACCCTTCAGGCTTAGACTTTACAGAGGGCGGCAAGCAGGAAGTGAGAAAGGGTTAGGGCCAGGAGAGCCCTTACAGATGGCCCTGTAAACTGCCTCCGTAGACTGAGGGGGAATCCAAGACCCAGAGTTTGCACCTGAGACAGAGCTGGGGGCCAGACCTTGAGTGTCCAGCAAACAACCGTTTGGGAGAGAAGACTCACAGCAAGCCCCAAAGGGCCCTGAGGCGTGTGCCCCCGAGGGAGCCCTTTAATTTTAGCCTCAACGTCTTGTCTCCTCAGTGACACAGGATCTTGTCATGGTCACCAGGGTCACTCTAGCTAAGGCCATAGAGCGCCTCTGCGGGTACTTCCCGGGTCAGGAGCTACGGGCCAGGAAGGCCAGGGAGAGGGCGGGGTTGGGCGGAGGACTCCGAATTGTAGCAGAGCCGAGCTGGCAGCAGGGCCACTCACCTCGTAGATGAGCAAGATGCGGGAGTCGCGCAGCAGGCGCTCGTAAGGGTAGTCCCGCATGTAGCCCAGGCCCCCGAGGATCTGCAGCGCTTCACTGATGCACTGCCACGCCCCCTCTGAGCTGAACACCTGCCACAGGTCAAGGGCAAAGTCAGCACAGGGTTGCTGATGCTCCCACCCTACCAAAAGCAGGCGCCATGCTGGGGAGGGGGCGGGCTGTTCCCCCACCCAAGTCCGAATCCTGCCACCGTCCCCTGGGTGCTCCTGCTCCTTTCCCTTCCTCAGCCACTGGCCAGCATGTGGCTCCCCACACCTTTCCAGACCCGTCTGCCCAGGTGGACCAAACTTCCACAGCTGGGCACATCCTATGCTTTACACTCGGCGGAGGTTCTTCCTCTCCCAGGAGGCCTGGGGGCACACCTCCTCGGCCCCATTTGCCTGTGCCTTTGAATAGGACCCCACCTCGGTCATGACTCACTTCACCGAGCAGAGGGAAGGTCATACCCAGCCCAAGGCTCAGCCTCTGGAAAAGGGCCCGCGTCTACGCTGATTAACGTCCACACTGTTGCCGAGGGGCTGAGAGAGGATTCGTGATGGGTGCAAAAGCTCCGAGCAAAAAACGTACCCCGAAAAGGCCAGACGCTGGACAAAGGCCTGCATCTCCTAGGTGCACCTTCCTCCCTACACTAGCGCCGTCTCCACGCCTCTGCCGTTCCAGAATCTTACAAAGATGGCTGTGCCCGCCAAAGCAGGGCTGCTGTCCCCTTTATTATAGCTAAAAAACCAGCCCACCCCCACAAAAGTATCAATATTCCAGAAAAGATTTAATACCCCAAACTCAGAAAGCTCTAAGTGCAGAATAAGAGGCCTTCCCAAGCAGGTGGCACTGCCATCTGGTACTGTTGGGAAGCTGGTGTCGGTGCCAGCAAGCAGACGCTGAGAAGCAGCACTGCCCAGGACTTTCCTAGGCTGCGGTCTTTCCTGCTGAGCAGCTAGGTGGGTCTGAACCGGCACAAACAAGGCTTGGGAGACTAGACTGTGGGCAGATGAGTCCAAGCCTGGCTGCTTCTCTGGTGCTGTCCCAACCCTGGCCCTGCATCATCGAGGCACACATCCCCAGAGCACGGACGACCTAACACCAATGGATCCATCAAGTGACAAGTCAGGAGAGGACACCTGGGCTTGCAGGGCTGGAGCTAAGGAGCTCTCTCCCCAGCGCTGGCACTGGCGATGCTGGATTACCTTCACCATGGCAGCCTCCACAGAGCAGTCGGGGAGCCCGGGCTGGTCCAGCAGCCCTGCAGTGAGGTAGGCCATGCTCTCCATCACATACGCCTTCTGAGCCATCAGGGCAAACTTCTCCTGCAGAGTTCAGACACAGAGAAACAAACACACACGTGCACACACAGTCAAGAGGCTACCTGTACGGCTGCACCCCACAAAGTGCCCGGGAGAGAAGGTCATTAAACCAGGAGAAGCCAGCTGGGCATTAATGGAAGTGATTCCCATTGAAGACAGACTGACCCAGTGTGCCTTCCCAAGTCGCTGCCCAGCAAGCAGTCACCAGGACGGACGCCCCAGCCGCACACACTTCATGTCCACGCAAGGCAACAAGCAGAGCACACGTGACCTTTAGTACCTGAATTAATCCGAATTCACTGAGATTCTTGTTGAACTGTTTCCGTGTGCAGGCATATTCAGCGGTCATTTCTGAAGAACAGGGTCATCAGAAAGTACAAATGAATGAAGAGCTCAAATAGCCCTAAGGAATCCTGGCACATCTGCTTGTTGGCAGGGAAGTTGGGGCCAAGCTGCTCCACCTGCTCTGTTCCCTTATAAGATGGGGCCAATACCACCCACCTCTCGCACTGCTGTGGAGACAGCAGCCAACAGAAGCTGTAAGGAGCCTAGCACACAGCCAGAAGCACAGGGACACCCTTGCTAGAAGGAAGAGCAGGTTCCTACCTGTCTTGGTGTTGCATCCCCATCACAGGGAGAGTACCAAATACAGGTAGGTGGTTTCCAAGGGTCCCGCAGTGAATACATACATACTGTTTCTCAGAGCTTTGCCCAAGTACGCCTGACACTCCCCACACAGCCACCAACAGACCCCCGGTGCTGTCTCCCTGTGGTCCAGTCCTCGGACTGGCTGACGGGGCAGCCACCTGGGCTCTGCACAGAGCGCCCAGGTCTTGCTAGAGTGCTGCATCCTCAGGGAGATGGGCTGACCGCCAAAGCCCGAGGAGAAGCAAGGGAAGAGAGGGCTAGGAAGGCCAGGCCAGGCCCTGGGAGCCGCACAGCAAAATGAGAGCTGGGCCAGGTGCGTGGCAGGCTGGGCTTTTAGGCTCAGGTACGCCGCCTCGGGCAAACCCATTTCACCCCTCAGAGCCGTTTCCTCATCTCTAAGATGGGGTGGAGATTCAAGATTCCGTCGGTTCGATTCTAACCCACAGAGACCCCGTGGTGTACAACGGAACAAGACGCTGCCTGGCCACGGAAGCCTTTGTGTCCTCACCTTGCCCTGAACACTGGGAGGCTGTGCTAAAACCTGGCACCGAGGAGGGCCTTTGGAAGGTACTCGGTCGTCTGCAGTGCCCAGTGCAGCCCCTGCCTACTCAGGCGTCTCTCTGCAGCTACGTCCACAGGTTACAGCGGTGGCAGCCTCCTTCCAAGCCAAGTCAACCCTACAAGCTGTTTCAAGCTCACTGACGAGAAGGAAAATCTAGGTGTCAGAAAAGGTCCGGGGGGAACCGACTCCATTCCTCAGCCACTCCAGACTCACGTCACTGCCACCGAGTGGACACTGACTCACAGCGACCCAAGAGGGCAGGGCAGAATGGCCCCCGGGAGTTTCTAAGACCGTAATCCCTTCAGGGAGCCAGACTCGTCTTTCACCCATGGAGCCTCCGGTGGGTTTGAACTGTTGACCTTATGGTTAGCAGCCCAACGTGCAACCCTCAAATCAAGACTGTCGACTCCAAGAATAGGGCTCAGGTTGTCCTTACAAGTTCCCTAAGGAGCCGAGTGGCCAGAACCACCTCTTTACCTGACAAGACCCACCCGTCCCTGTCCAGTGCATGTGGGTAAACAGAGGCACGTGGCCGCAGGAAGCAGCCATCTAGAGAAGACCGAGAGCATTCATGGGTCTAGCCCAGGCCTGGACAGTCGTAGTCCAGATCCCAGACCTGAGCTGACAGTCCAGGTGACCCCCTCCCCCTTGGACTAGCAGCGTGCCCCGGGATGGAGCAGGGCAGGGGCAGGGCTCGTCTGCTCCTGTCCCAGTTTACCTACCAATCACTCTCTTGAGCGTGCCGGCCACAGAGCTGCCCATGCTGAACCGCCCACTGTTGAGAATGTTCATGGCCACCTGTGGGGACAACAGGAGGGACAGTGTGGGCTCCCGTCCTAAGTGCCCTGTCACCTCCCATCCGGGTGCAGAAAGCCCAGGGCCACTGAGCAAGACACAGGTGGCAGACCACAGAAGGGCTTTATCTATTGACCACGAGGTTTCGTGAAAACAAAAGGCAAGTCTGGGGGAGCTTTGTGCCGGCATCTAGCTGAGGACATCATGTGGCAGCCTCTGGTGAGAGAGCGCAGTCTCACTGTCGCACAGCAGGGCCACGGCGCTCACGACACCTGGGACTCGGTCCCCACCAAGAGGCACTGCGCAACCGTGTCCTCCAGGGCGCCCGGCAGCGTTCCGAGTCCTCAGAGGAGCACTTCACAACGACAACTCACTGTCCCTTGACTCGGCTCTGACTCGGTGTCCCTCTGCCACAGTAGCGCTGGGCCTGCGGGTTTCTGAGGCTGGACCGCTTGATGGGGCATGGAGCCCCACCTTCCCCCGCAGGGCGACCCCAGCTACGTCTCAAGGACACACCTGGCAGCCAGCAGCCCAACTCAGGGACCTTTTGGGGGTGGGGTGGGGATGAATATAAAGTAAGATAGTAACTGCTGCTTCCCTTACATGCTGCAGGGTCAGGATCCTCAGCGGGCAGATGAGAAACCCGAGGTTCAGGCGGGTAAAGTGTCTCCTGTTCCCAGGTCACACAGCAAGCAACCCGGGCCTGTGCACTTTTACCCACCCAACGAGCCTCAATGAACTCAGCGCCGTTCCCTCCCCAAGATCCCCACAATAGGGCCCTGATCACTTTGTCAGTTACCCTCCTCGCCCCACTAATGATCACGGTGGCGTCTTGCAGTGCCCACAAGCGCACACACTGCCATGTGCGTGCCAGGTGACACAGGTTCGCAGAGGCACCCACGGCTGGAGGCTTTCCAAGAACGGGATGCAGTGCCATCAGACCTTTGAACCGGTTGCCTCTGAGGGATCCCCACCCCCCAGGCTGAGTCTTTGCCATCAGTCTGACCTGCTAGGCCTCAGGGGTCCTTAGGGACAGGGTGGGGTCTGAGGGCAGAATGGAAGCCCAAGGACTCCAGGTTTTCCAAAAGTTCCACTTGAGCTGTTTCACGGCTTATTACTGAATGCTTCGTCATGTGGAGCTCGGATTAGTAAGACATGCAACTGAACTGAATCGCTGCTTACTTGTAAACAACACACACAGGACAGTTTCTCATACCACTGAGAGCCCAGAGAGGCTGCAAACAAGGAGGCTGGGGCTGTGTGGGCAGAGTGCAGGGCTGGGGTGGCCACACCCTGGGTGCCTGCCAGTAGGGCGTGACCAGGAAGGCTGGTGAAGCCACACCGTGGTGTGAGATTCAGTCTAGCTGGAGGGTTCAGGATGGGCAGCAGTGGGCGTGTGTGCACCCCCTGAGGATCAGATGAGGCCCTACTCCCTTTCCCTTCCCGGTGCAAACTCTGTCTCTGGACAGGCATGCCACGGGCCCACTTCAACCTGCTGGGGCCAAGGAGGGCGGCAACAATCCCCCCAGGCCTGTTCTGTATCAGCTTCCTTCTTCCAAATCCAGCTTACAGTTTATGAATGAAACCCAGCTCCACTTCATTTGAAAAACAAAAGGTGGGGAGAAGCGGAGAACCTATCACAATGATTTACATGAAACCCCCTCCCTGCGGGACGGACAACAGAAAAGTGGGTGAAGGGAGACGTCGGACAGTTAAGACACGAAAAAATGATTTCTAAATTAGCAGGAATAATTAGATAATTTATAAATTATATATTACTATGAGGGAGGGAAAAAACAAGGAGCCGATACCAAGGGTTCAAGTAGGAAAAAAATGTTTTGAAAATGCTGATGGCAACAAATGTACAAATGTGCTCGACACAATGGCTGCAGGTATGGAACGAGCTGTACGAGCCCCCAAGTAAATGATTAAAACAAACAACAAGAAGGAAGGACAAAGGGTTTGCTATCGGCCTCACGCTGCAAGAACCAAAGCCCCCCCAGGTTGACCCTGCGTGAAAAGACTCATGAGCGCAAATGCCCATCTTCCTGCTTAGCCTCTAACACGAAACTGTTCCACAATTTCCACAGCGACACTCTCAGATCTGTTTCGTCAGCAGTAAAGCTCCAATCCATTCTTTCAACAGTGTGCCCTGAGGGGTGGTCATCTGGCAGTTAACCAGGCGTGGACGGTCCCGTTATTCCAGAGGGAAAACATCTTCCCTTGATCTCACACTCCTCCGTTGGGTTTCCACCACCCTTTTATCGGCACTGGAAACCACTGGGATCGTGCCACGTTTTGACATGCACACAAACTGGTAAGCAATCTCATCAATAAAGAAACCTTGGTTTCAGACGAGGAAAGGTGAGTATCGGGGCTGTGCCCTTTCCCCGTGCTTACTCAGTCTGGGCCAGGCTACACGAAAAAGAACGAGGCATCGGGGCTGAAGGATGCTCATTCACAACGTGGTGCTATCTGCACATGGCACCACCCTGCTAGCTAACAGCAAAGAACGCACGAAGCACCTACTGATGACGCACAGACCACGACCGTCAGCGTGGAGGACATGTCCTCACAACTGGACAATGAGCAGCACTCGTGATACACACAGATCCAGTGCTGCTACGTGGGGCTACAACCCACACACACTCCTGGGAGCAGTGTCCCATTTGATGTGCGTGCTGTAGCAAGGGGGAAGAAAGCAGATGGTGCCCAGCGAGCAAAAGGAACAGTATCTGACTGTGTGAAGAACCGTGCAAGCCCCCAATACAATGATTTATAATAATAATAATAATAAAGAATAGTATCTGGAGTCTTAAAAGCTTGTCTTCAAACAAGCAGCCATCTAAGTGAGGCGTCAACTAAATTCACGTAGAAGAAGCATACCACCCTGGGTTATCTAAGGATGATAAACAGTAAAACCCAAATCTGAAGGGAAAGGTATCAGAGCTTAAACTGTGAGCACCCGATTTGCAGAAGGCTATGCATGACAGTGGAAACCCAAAATACATTTGCAGGATCCACCAGGGAGCAAGCCTCTGGTGCCTGCCCTCTAACCCTAACTGAGGACAGGAATGAACGGATCATCAGGCAGAGCACTGGAGAGGGTGCAGCAGATTACGATGGTAAATCTGACTTGAACGATGAAAACCTTATGATCACTTGATCTTCCCTTTGATACACTTTGGGTTTGATCTGGTTTTTAATATAAATATTGTTTCATATTGGGGTTCCTCTCTGTTGTATTTTGTAGGCTACTTGACTCTGCTATGCGCTTTCCCGTACATGGGACCCAGGATAAATGAATGCAGAGAACAAGTGGAAACAACTAGAATGCGGGCTCCTGCGGGGTTCAGGGGCAGGGGCGGGGAGGGTAAAGGGGAGCTGCTATCAAGGAAGGAAGGAAATGTTGAAACCTGATTGTGGTAGCGGCTGTACAATACCGCTTTATGTGCTTGAGCTATGGATGTCACGGTGCCTGCATTAGCTCCTGAGAAAATGGTTTGGGAACAACAACAACAGAATCCTGAGAGCCACTCAGGATAAAAGGCCAACCATCTATAAAGGTGAACCCAAAAGAATCAGCTCCATTTTGGCAGTGGAAACCAGGCAGGCAGTACGGCAAGAAAACGATAAGTACAAAACCTTGAGAAGGAAACAGAACCTTATATCCAGCAAAATAACCCCTAAATACAAGGGAGAAATAAAGACATATTCAGATAAGGAAACACTGCAAGAAGGCATTAAAACAAGACCAGCTTTACAAAAAACACTAAAGGGAATTAGAAAATCTGTTTCTGTCATGCAAATGACGCTAAAGCAAGAAACTACTAAAGACCTTGCGTTGAGGGTACAAAGAACAGCCCGGGGGAACAAGGGCGTCCCTGGTATGCAGCAAGGAAGCCCCCAGACACCCCTGACTATGGCCGCCCCCATGACCCAACAAGGAGGCCTCAGGTCATCCAGGAGACTCATAAAGGCAGGCCCTGGCAGTCCCAACCCACAAGGTCGCCCCGTCCACTGTCCCTGAAACCTGGTGAAACGAAGGCCCTTACATCCCCCAGGAAGCAGCAGAGCAAGCTGCGTGGTCCTCCCCATGCCTCAGCAAAAAGCCCAGCCATCCCTGTGCCCTCACCCTCCACACGAACTGCTGCACACAGTGCAAACAGTAGCCACACACACACACACACACACACACAACCAGTAGGTGCAGGCATCGGAGCATGAGTCTGGAAGCTGGGCAGGAGCCCAGAGCTGGGAGGAGCTGTCGAGGTAGGCCAGAAAGAGAAAATGGAGAGAGAGAGAGAATAAAAAGAGGCACCAATAGCTGAACAGCACAGAGGCAAAGGGGTATTCTTAAGAAAAGACCCTGGGACTACCAGAACCAGAGTTCAGGAGAATGAGTTTCAGGTACTTTCAAGGGATGAAGGAAATGTTTGAGAGCAGGAGGGGGGGAGGAAACGGGCTGTGGAACTGTCTTCTGCGAACTGTTTCCTGTGTGGTACTCCACACACCCATGAGAAAGGTCACAACCTTCCTAGTCCGCGTGGTCCACGGGAGAGGGAGGGGGCTTTCTACTCCCATCAAGAGTTGCAGTCTAGAAGACAAAGCGGGTGAGTAAGCAAATGTGGTGAAGAAAGCTGATGGTGTCCAGCTATCAAAAGATGTAGCATCTGAGGTCTTAGAGGCTTGAAGGTAAACAAGCGGCCATCTAGCTCAGAAGCAACAAGCCCACATGGAAGAAGCACACCAGCCTGTGTGATCACAAGGTGTCGAAGGGATCAGTTATCAGGCATCAAAGAACAAAAAATCCTATCACTGTGTGCTCACCTCCCCGATATGATTGCTGAAGACAAACAAGTACATTAGCAAATGTGGTGAAGAAAGTTGATGGTGCCCTGTTATCAAAAGATACAGCATCTGGGGTCTTAAAGGCTTGAAGGTAAACAAGCGGCCATTTAGCTCAGAAGCAACAAAGCCCACACCAGCCTGTGTGATCACGAGGTGTCGAAGGGATTAGGTATCAAGCATCAAAGAACAAAAAAAGCATATCACTGTGAATGAGGGGGAGTGCGGAGTGGGGACCCAAAGCCCATGTGTAGGCAACTGGAGATCCCCTTACAGAAGGGTCATGGGGAGGAGACGAGCCAGTCAGGGTGCAGTGTAGCAACGATGAAACATACAACTTTCCTCTAGTTCCTAAATGCTTCCTCCCCCGCCACTATCATGATCCCAATTCTACCTTACAAATCCGGCTAGACCAGAGGATGTCCACTGGTACAGATAGGAACTGGAAACACAGGGAATCCAGGACAGATGATCCCTTCAGGACCAGTGGTGAGAGTGGCGGTACCACGAGGGTGGCAGGAGAGGGTGGTGGAAAGGGGGAACCGATTACAGGGATCTACATATAGCCTCCTCCCTGGGGGACGTACGACAGAAAAGTGGATAAAGGGAGACGTCGGACAGTGTAAGATATGACAAAATAATAATTATTTATAAATTATCAAGGGTTCATGAGGGAGGGGGAAAATGAGCTGATGCCAGGGGCTTAAGTGGAGAGTGGGTGTTTTGGGAATGATAAAGGTAACAAATGTACAAGTGTACTTGCCACACAGACGTATGTATGGATTGTGATAAGAGTTGTATGAACCTCCAATAAAATGATTTTCTTTTAAGTTGCAGTCTAATGACAAAATAATAATAATTTATAAATTATCTAGGGTTGGTGAGGGAGGGAGGCGTGGGGAGAAGAAAGAAAAAATGAGGAGCTGATACCAAGGGCTCAAGTAGGGAGAAAATGTTGTGAGAATGGTGAGGGCAACAAATGGACAAATGTGCTTGATACATGGATGGATGGATTGTGATAAGAGTTGAACGAGCCCCCAATACAATGATTTAAAAAATAAAAAAGAGCTGCAGTCTACAGGGACAGGCCTACTCTGTCACCACGTCGCTGTGGGCTGGGACTGATTAAGGGCGGGAGTTTTGGTTCTGGAGTGGGCACAAAAGGAGGAGAAGTAACACTGCAACTAACTTCAATGGGCTTGTTTCAAACGATTTTTTTTTAATTGCATTTCTTTTCCAGATACTTATTACTGGGGCAAAATGAGGTGGCACCTCTGATATATGCTGCTTATTTGTCTGTCTGTCTGTGACATGTACTACAACAGAAGTCTCAACAAAAGTCAAGCTTTTCAATGAGAAAAAAATATAAACCAACGTTGTCTTAGCTTGCCATATTCACTCTGTCCAACCCGTGTGAAGTCAGTGCGCCACTTGGACACGTGCGCTATAGCTTGCAAAATATTAAATTTCCCCCTAGGCTTGTCTTTGTCCTCTTCTAGCAAGGAAAGAGATTAGCCACGAGGGGCTATAGGATAAAGGTTGCTGACAGACAAGGGGCAATCCATGTAGAGAGACCTTTAGGGAGGAGGGGAAACAATAGGCACAGAAGCTGGAGTTGACAACATATCACAAAAGGGAGATGGACATCAGAGCTCTCCCAGGAAGCTCCCCCTCACTGCAGACAGGCGCAGTGCCGACACACGCTACCACACGGATGAGCCTCGAGAGCAGCGCTCGCTCCGAGTGACATTCGAAGTGAAACTGTAACCTTCATTGACGTGCAACGTCCAGAGAGAAAGTGAGACAGTGGTGCCCTCCATATACCCATGGGTATACCCTCCATGGGTATATGGAGGGCACTGGGAGGGATGACATTTCTTTTTGGAGTGGTGGGAATGTTCTAGATTTGACAGCGCCTACGGCTATACAACATAATGAACAGGCTAAACATTACTGAAGTAGAGTAGTTAGTACACACACAAAGTGGTGAGTTCTATATCAGGTGAATGATCTCAAAGAACAACAACAAATCGGAATCCGTGAAGGAAACTGTGTCAGGGCGGGGACTCCGATCCAGAGTTGAATATCCAGAGCCTCACCTTCTCCAGCGCCCTCCAGCCTCCTTTCTTACCCACTGGGAAAGGATTCTATCCCTTACTAGAGGCAAATGCGGCCTGAGAGTAGAAAGATTCTAATTCTCAGCATGTGCTCTCTTTTCTGGAGCAAACCCACCTCTGCCCTCTCTGTTTGGCCTCCTTCCAAGTGGAGAGCCTTGGCTCATGCGCCAAGCACAGAGTGTCCGCCACAGAAATGGAGGGAACGAAGCGGGAGGCTAGTACACAGACCCAGGAAACTGCCCAGCATTCGCAAGGGGCTGCTGCCAGGGACTCACCTGAAACCCACCTCCGACTTCTCCAAGGACATTCTCAATGGGCACCTTGGTGTTTTCAAAATGGACTTCACAAGCTGAAACACACGAAATTCAAGATTTACTTGACAAACACAAGCGATTCTACATGTGACTCCCCTGCGTCCACGGCCACGCCAGTCGTCCGACATCGACTGCTGGGGTGCACAGGACACCAAGGGTCCGCAAAGCTGCCCGCATTCTGGGCAGAGAGATAAACTCCACAGGCGTTCGAGTTCTGTGGGAGGTGCGATGGATAAAATAAATAGGGTGTGGTGACAGGAATGGAGGTGTTGGGGCAGCGAGAACATAAAAACTGATGTCAGATCTAAAGGGTGACATTTTAGAAGTTTGGACGACAAAGAGCCAGTTGTGTAAAAAGCCCCCAAAAGAACACTTGGATGGAGTAGCCTATTCTAGGCCCTTTTCGGTAGCTGGGATTATTGATTTC